TCCCAGCTACTTGGGAGGCTGAGGCAGGAGGATTGCTTGAGCCCAGGAGTTTGAGGTTGCTGTGAGCTAGGCTGACACCACGGCACTCTAGCCAGGGCAACAGAGCGAGACTCTGTCTCAAAAAAAAAAAAAAAAAAAAAAAAAAAATCTGAAACACTTCTGGTCCTAAGCATTTGGAATAAGGAATACTCAACCTGTATCTCTTTATGGTTTTTGAGCCCTGATTACTAATGAGAATCTTTTCATAAATCACTGACTACGCTATTGACCATTTGGAGTTCTTCATTTGTGAATTGTCTATTCTTCTAATTTTTACGTGGTTATCATTTTATTATTCAATCATAGCAGTTGCTCGTATATTTTTTTAAATTTTTAAAATTTTTTATTTAATTTTTTTAATTATTAATTTTATTTTTTGAGACAGAGTCTTGCTCTGTCACCTGGGCTAGAGTGCAGTGGCATGATCACAGCTCACTGCAACCTCTAACTCTTGGGCTCAAGTGATCATCCTGGCTGAGCCTCCCAACTAGCTAGGACTACAAGTGCGCACCACTATGCCAGGCTAATTTTTCTATTTCTTGTAGGGACAGGGTCTCACTATGTTGTCCAGGCTGGTCTCCAACTCCCGGCCTCAAGCAATCCTCCTGCCTCATCCTCCCAAAGTGCTAGGATTATAGGCATGAGCCATCATGCCCATCCTGCTTATATATTCTTGATACTACTGTTTTGTTAGTCAAATGTGTTATAAATATCTTCTCTTATTTTGTTGTTTCACTTTTTGATGTTGTATTTATGAATAGAAATTCTTAATTTACTGAAGCCAAATTCATTAATCTTTTACTTTACGGTTTTTGCTTTGCATAAAATGTTAAAGAAATCTGTCCTTCACTAGGTGCCATAAAAATATTCTCTTATATTGTCTTCTAAAAGTTTCATAGTGTTAATTCTTCACATTACAGCTTTTATTTCCCTCATTTTATATTGTCAGGTAGGGATCCAACCTCATTTTTTCCTCCCACAAATATTTACTGGAGAATACCTCCTTTTTCTACTGGTCTACAAAGTTGCCTGTGTTGTAAGTCAACTTTCCATAGACGCATAGGTCTATTTCTGGGCTGTTTCATAATCTATTTATCTATTTGCAAAATATTATCACTACTGGTTCAATCACTATATCTTTAGAAATCTTGATATCTGGTAATGTAAGTTCCCACATTTTGTGGTTCATCTTTAGAAGTATCTTTGCTTTTTGGTCCTCTGCTCTTTCATATAAATTTTTAAACGAGCTTGTTAAACCCTACAAAGAAACCTTGATGGGCTTCTGATTTAAATTGTCTTGAGTCAACATATTAGTCCAAGGAGATTTAACATTTTCTGACACTGAATCTATCTGTGAATATAATGTTCCATTTATTTTGGTTTTCTGTAATGTCTCCCAATAAAATTCTAAATTCTCCTCTATAAAGATCTTGTACATTTTGGGTTAAACTTATTCCTATGTACCTCATATTTTTGTCTCTATTATATTTTGTTTCCATTTGTATCTTTTTTAAAAATTAGATTTGTTTAACCAATGTTTGCTGGTCTATAGACATGCAACTGAGTTTCGTATTTTGGGGTTTATAATGAGCAACTTCGCTAAACTCACTTATTCATTCTAATAATTGACATGTAAATTTTGGATTTTCTCCATGCATAGCTTTATTAACTGTAAATAATGAGAATTTTGCTGCTTCTCACTCCTTATAGCTTTTAATTCTTTTTCTAGTCTTAATGAACTGTCTAGGACCTCCACACAATGCTGAACGGAAGAGGTGAAAATGAGCATCTTTGTTTTATTTCCCAATTCAAAGGAAAAAATTTCTATGTTTTATCATTAAGTATGACATCTATTATAGGGTTAGTTTTTTATTTTTGTTAATATTTTATTTTGTTAATATATACCCTTTATTGGGTAAAGAAAGTTCATTTCTATGACTACTGTGAGCTGAAGTTTGTTTTATCACAAATGCTTTTTAAATTTAATCAAATGCCTCTTCTGAATGAGAGGCATGAGACATGAGACGGTCATGTAATTTTTCTCCTTTAATCTGTAAAAGGGGATTCACCACATTATAAATTTTTTAATGTGTGCTAAATCCCACTGGGTCATGAAATATTAGATTTGCATATATAGTTGAATTTGGTGTGCTAGTATTTAATTTAGGATAGTTAAGATTGGCCTTTTCCTTTCTGATACTGTCATTTTACTGATTTAGTTATCAAACTTATATAAGAGCCTCATAAAATGAGTTGAGAAATGCCTCTTTTTCCATTCCATGGAAAAGTAAAGAATTATAACAATGGATTTTTTTCCCCTCTTGAATGTCTAGTATACTGGTGAAGCCAGAGAAGGTCTCTATGAAAAGATGTTTAGCTAATGGAGTACGATTTTTTTTTTTTTTATTTATTTTTTTTTTTGAGACACAGTCTCGCTGTGTTGCCTGGGCTAGAGTGCCATGGTGTCAGCCTAGCTCACAGCAACCTCCAACTCCTGGGCTCAAGGGAATCCTCCTGCCTCAGCCTCCCGAGTAGCTGGGACTACAGCCATACGCCACCATGCCCGGCTAATTTTTTGTATATAGTTTTAGTTATCCAGCTAATTT